TCTCTCATCATGTTTAGGAATAACACCTAGAAGACTGAATCGTAATCCTGCTGAGAGCACCTTAGTGCTATCACAATATTGTCATGTGCCAAATAATAGTAAGAGTTAATGAGCAAGGACGCTGCACACTAACCATACAGAATAACTTGGTCATGGAACCACTTAAAAAAAAAGCTTGAAATAAGAAAACCTTAAGCCACATCTATATTTTGAGTTTATTTTTTTCTGTAAGAAAGAATGAACTGTAATGGATTCAGTTATAGGTCACTGTTATCTGTAGAGGACAAACTACCTCCCTGGACCCACATGCTAAATTCTGTACCTGGAACACCTGGCTCGCCTTTTTCTCCTTTTGCTCCTAGCTGTTTTGGATCAACTTTTCCAGGTGGACCTGGGAGGCCTGCTTCGCCTTTGATGCCTTTCTGACCTACTGGTCCAGGAGACCCTGGTGGACCAGGTAATCCAGTATTACCTATAGTAGGTACAAACAACAAAAGAGAAAAAAAATATAATCCTTAATGTAGGCTAATATATTTGTAATGCTTTTACTTACATAGGGAATCCACGATTTATTAATGAAGTTGGAATTCACTAAATGATCAGTCAGTTTCTGCAAGGTTCTCCACAGCATCTTAAGCCCTGGAACAAAGTTGAGTGAGTGAACTGCGTGGGGACAGCTGGATGCTGCAGTTTGTCAGCTCTGGCCAGCCCAGCTCAGAGGAAGCAGCTGTCTCTATGACCCACATCAAGAGAGAGCTCCCAGAGCCCCACCACACTGTGCCGCTAGCACCAAGGAGTTGCAACAGATACAGCAGCTTTGGATGCACAGCCTCCTTGTTCTAGGAAGATCAGTGGGTTTTTCTTCTACCAAACTCTTTAAAAATTAATCTCCAACAAGGGGGTTTGGAAAATGTGGATAGAATAGCTTCTCTGTGAGATGTGTAGAGCTGATTCTGGATGAGTCCATAACCCAAAGCTACTGATCTTCTTATTTCTGTTGCTTAAAGCAGACTTTACAACATACTTCAGAAATATTGCTCTCCTTTAATGCATCAATCCAAAGGCAATGTTTTAAAAATAGCTAACATTTCATGACATCAATTGAAAAGAGTGACTGAATGCTATGGCTTAAAACTGCAAAGCAATTCTGAACATCAGCACTGTCAAAAGAAGATAACCTAAGCAGATCTCAGTAATGAAGATCTAGATGTTAGTATTACAAATCCTCTTCCACACAGCACATGGAAAACAGGATTCTGTGTTCTCTTCAGGGGTGGATAAAAATAAACATTACCTTTCAAGCCAGGCAGGCCATTTCTTCCAGGAGTTCCTGGAGGCCCTGGAGGACCAGGAGCTCCCATGACACCCATCTCGCCTTTGGCACCTAAATGAATTGAATCGCCATTGTCATTCTGAACAAAAATTCAAAACCTATCAGTACCTAACTTTTACTTCCCTGCATCTATGTGGTATTTATTAACCAGCACATGCATATACAGCCTGTTTTAAGGGAATTACAAGCACTCATTTTTGTATAGATCTAAATCAGATAAAATGACACTTGAAAATTGTGCCAAATATTCCACAGTTAAGAAGAAAATTTGCAGTCCACCCTTCTTTTTGTTAGAAAGCATATTTATACCTCCAATAAGCTTAGTTCCCCGGTTTGAAAAATAAATACTTGTTTGAAAGCAAACTTCAATTTATCGAAAGCCAAAAAGACAACTAGGAATACATGACTTTTAGAATCTAATGTATTGCCTCCTCTATCCAAAGACAGAGATTCTCAAAATTCACTTTTGAGATTTCTATTCTAGAGGGCAAAACAGACTATCTTAACTGAATAAGTATGAGATGTAATGGTTACATATATCCAACTTTAAATACATAGGATAAATATCAAAGCTCATTAAGCTGGCATGCCCAAGTATAAAGAGCATCCATCTGTAACTACAGTTTGGTCTTTGTCCACAGGTAAATATGTGAACTTACCTGGAAATCCAGGTATTCCATCCCGGCCAGGTGGTCCAGGTGAACCCTGAGGCCCTGGGAGACCAGGGGGTCCTGGATATCCTGGAGATCCTCGATCACCTGGAGGACCAGGAACGTCGAAGCCTGGAGGACCTGGATCTCCTTTCTCCCCTGGAATGCCCTGCAACCCTAGACAATGTTGTTAAGACACAATTTTTTATCAAAAACTAAGGCAAGGCTGAGATCTGTGTCTCTGGGCATAGTACTGTAGGAATAGCTAAGTTTCATCTGCAGTCCATTCCTAGCACTGATAGAAACCCTGCAATTCTTCTAAAGCCATTTATTTTTTAATGGCTTCCAGGTTTTATAAGGCCATCTTCTCCTGAAGAGAAGCATTACTAAAAATTTACCAAGTTGCAGCAAATGCAATTCAAAAAAATCTCAAAAGGAAAACAACAACTCTCTTCAAGAACTCCTTAAGTCTGATTAATAAAACAAAAACCCAAGCTTGATTAGACTGGTTTGTATTTTATCATTAAATATTGAGAATCTTACAAGTATATTTCCATTAATGATTCAATTTTACTACATTCTAAGATAACATCAGCTTAATATTTTTGAAGGATAGCAAAATTCTGCATTGCATTACATTTCCCTCAATGAAAAGTATGAATTGTCAAAATACACTTAAGATTGTTTAACGCTAATGATACTGAGCTCGAGGCACTGCTGAAGCAAGCAGACAGCTTGTTTCCCTCCAGTGCACTGTATCAGCAGAGATGCTCACTCTGGAAATGTAGCTGACAAATAAGGATTATTATTAAATCTGAAGTTAAGAAAAGGCTTTGGTAAAGAAACCACAGTACCTGGGGAACCTGAGGTTCAAAAGCCAACGAGTTAGAGCTCATCAGGAAGTTGAGACAGGTAGCAGTAAGGAGTTGTAATAGTCGTTAAGTTAGGAAACAAAATAAAGCACATACAGATTAGAACAAAGAAAAAAAAAAACTATCCTAAAGTTACTGAAAACAGAACTACGTACAAGAAACACAACACCAATGCAGTTAAGAGAAACCAGACTGCAAGGAAACTTGGAGGTCTTTTTCACAGTGCAGCCACCACTGTATGCAGAAACAAGAAACTCAGTGAGATATTTTCAAATATTGATGGTACATTTAAAAAAATAAATTATTTTTCCCTTTTTGCTTGCCTAGTATTCTCTTCATAACTGGAGAACAAGCTTTTTCTGAACTGTTTCTCACACAAAACTGACATTAGTAGATACTGGCCTGGACTTTTTCTGAACACCAGAGTACATCCTACCAATCAGCTTCTTGATCTGCATCACATTCTGGTAAATCCCTTCAAATAGAAATTTTCAAAAGATGCTTCCTCTTGAAAACACAAAAAACCTCTAAATATATTTTTTTATTCTTCTATTACACAAATTTACATTGCTACACCTACAGAGATCGTATATTGCATGTTTCATGCCCTAGCATAGTCTACTGAGATTATGACAACAGCATGCCAAGACCTCATAACAAACTACAAGGCAGTATTACTCTAACTCTGTAATTGTGACCTCTGCTCTCAACTGCAGGAACCAGTTTAGGAGTGATGCAGTGATGTAATGATGTGTTCTTTGCACACTACAAAGGCAGATCAGGTTTTCTTGACTGCACAGGCTGTAGACTTAAGATTTAGTGATAAGCATGCGCCTCTTTTACAGCAGCTTATCACTGCATTAACCTATGGTGTCATGTGCCTGGAACTGCTTACTTTGCAGAGAAAAAACAGTACCAGAGAATGGATAGAGACTGCACATGCTCTGTGTTTAAGGGGTCTCTATCAGCAAGGGAGGGGGGGGGGGGAAAAGAGAGAGGAAATAATACACAACTCAGTAATAGGACAAACTCCATTATCTAGAATGGTAAAGATACTTTTTTAGATAGAAACTAATTCTAATTGAATTTCTAGTTCTCAAAAACATAACTGTATTGTAATTAGAACAATACAGACAAAACAATGGATTCTAAAGTAATTTGTTACATATTCAAAAAAAGAAGAATGTTGAGTTACTGCAAACTGTTTGAAGAAATGGTGGTGCAGAGAAAGGAAATTCTGAGCAGGGAAATCCTTTTAAGAGTTTTCCAAATTACCTGAAAAACAGAGCCCCAGAAACTTTCCCCTAATGTTGCATAAAGGAATAGAATCAAAACAGCCTAGTAAAACAAACAAGGGATAGGAGATTGGAACATAAGGCAGTCTGCACAAAACAGAGGAACAGCAGTGACAAGAGAAATAAAAAGGACTTCTCAAGTGAGACCTTCAGAGCCACCATGCTGTTAGTAGCCACAATTATTAGTCAGTACAGACACGAAGAGTGAATATAAGCATTTCAAATCTAGTAATAACTGTGCATTTGTCAAAATTGGTATTGTATAGAATAAATCAGTGATTGCATGAAATCAAATTCTGGCTAATACCAGAAGAGATGGTGTTACAGGAAGACAAAAGAACATGCATTGGATGAAACATTCAATCCCATATTAATATATCCCACCCCAAATACACACCTGTGTTGCCCTCTGTTTCAGTTCAGCCTCAAGTGCAATCACAGGTTCAGAACACTGTAGTGAGCACAGTAAGCCAGGCAGAGGACCTGCCTGTTGGCTCAGGGAACTTCTGTGCACATTGTCCAGACCCCTTGTGTCTTTAGTTCTTAACATTGGACACATTCAAGGCTTGCTAGTGCTTTGACCACACATTCCTTTCCCCACTGGGAAACTTGTGAAAAAATACACTTAAAAGTGACCCACACTTTATGTATGTGAGTAAAACTCAAACTCCCTGGGCCTACATACTCAAGTGCTTGCCTACCTTCAAGTTAAGCACTTTGCTGAATTTGAGCTCACAGTTCATAAAGACCTGAATATGATCAACCAATTTGCGATCAATGATCTTACAGGTGACCATGAATTTTTCAGCATGCATTGCAAACAGCGCCAGTCCTAGCGCTGGCATACAAACACATTCACGAAGTGCAGTTCACGAACATGCAATGTGAACAGTCATACAGGCATGGCAAGAACCAGATGGGTTTTGAAGTGTTTCAGGCAGACATGCTCAAGTCCACAGAGAATGTTCTCACTGTGGTGACTGCCACACGTTTGCGACATCAGGAGCTGGTGCACAGCAAGCACATTCACTGAATGAAGGGGAAAAGGAATTTCCCTAAACAAACTTTGTGAATAGAACGATGTGCATGCATGCACATGTACCCTTTGTGCACAGAGATGGAACGAGTTCACATCTTCATCAGTCACCAGTCATTTTAGACAAAGACAATCAAACTCCCTTGGAAGACATATTCTTAATTGTCACTATCTTTAGATTCTACTTCATCAATCTACTTTGAACCTATCAGGACTCATAAAACTTGCTGGGTTTGCAGAAAAAAAGTGTGTGAGGGAATCAGGAACCACAGAATTCAGAGGCTTCTGTAAGACAAATTCTAAAGCTCTTTTCCAGGTGTTCTTATGACAAGATGAATGTATATGACCTCTTTTACTGAGAGGCTTTTGTTAAAACAGTATCACATCACTACTTGGAGAACATTCTCTCCTCTACAAAATAATGAACCAGCTAGTTTGGAAGACTCATGCTTTCTTCCTTTCCACATTAACTGAGTTAAATTGTGCTTCAGCTTCCATTTGGGGGAAAAAAAAAGAAGTGCCTAGCCACATCAGGGAGAACTTGAATTACTCCCTTGATTTTGCACTCACCATGTAAGTAAGGGGGAGGACAAATAACATTGTATAATGGACTGAGTTTGACTCCTTTTTTCCCAAAACAGAAAGTAATTTTCTAGACAACAATGTAAAAAAGTTATTTAAAAATACTTCTTACCCAGTGAGTTTGGAATACAGTTTGGTAAGCTAGAAAACTGCTTTGGAATTTAAGAACCATCTTGCTATTTGAAAGCAATATAATGACAGCACAGTACAGGCAGCTAAAGACAGCTTTCCTCCTCTTCTGCATCCCCAAAACCTCTGCACTGACACTGTGTTCCTTTCTGCCTTGCCCTGAAGAGTATTGTGTTAAACCTTTTCAGAGAGATTTTGTTGATATCTGTGCACAATACTTCCTAGAATTTCTGCTGAGGCTCCAAGTCTCTTCCAAAGTGGGCTTTTACACCCTTGAGACCTAAATTCTGCAAATGGCAGAGCTGAATGTAATTCCACTTCTGATTTCAGTAAAAAACATGATGTACCAAGTTTTGCCCACTTGACTGGCAAAACAGCCAAGCTAATAGACGTGAAATCTCTATCTTTCCTTGCCTATCTGTTCAGTGAGACCTTCAGTGTCCTGTGTACCTGCTTACTGTATGATAGAAATAACCTGAGGGTACAATTCATGGGAGTTTTACCTGGGGGGCCAACAGGACCTGGAGGTCCTGGAGATCCAGGTGGACCTTGACCACCAATGCCAGGGATGCCTGGTGGGCCTGGGAGTCCTGGTGGTCCACTTGGTCCAGGGTCACCTAGAAGAACACTCTTGTTTAGTTAAATAGTGAACTCAGTTCAGAGATACTTGCTTTCAGAAGCAGAGTGCCTGGACATTGTACTTGAAATCTTGTCCTTGCATGCAAACAAATATAGATTTGACACAGGAAAAAACACACTTCAGAGGCTATTTCTGAAAGCCAGAGATTTATCCTCACTCTGTGTGGAATGCATGCAGTTTACATTTCTAGCTTACACAGAGACATGTTATTGCATCACCCTCCAACATCAAACTCAACAGATGCTCTCCAGCAAACCAGGCATGTTCTGCAGTTCAATACAGACAACGATTAACAGAAGGAATTTGTGACTTGCCAACCCTCTGCATGTTGAAGCACAGTGCATCTAAATGACAATTATTCTATTGAAAAACTTTTATTCCCACATTAACATGATTTGTCGTTAGAATACAGACTTCTAGATACTGACCCACAGATTGGTATTTACCTGCTTGCTTGCTTGTCTTTTGAGAACACAAGCTTTAATTTACACAAGTGCTGCCTGATTTGGAAAAATGGACCCTGAAGTAACTGCTCTAGAGTCAGGATTGCTTGTATTTAACTGCCACATGACTCTCAGCACATCTACATTATTTAAAGTTTAATAGGAAACAGAAAAGAGGAAAGTTCTCCATACCTTTGGACCCTGGAGTTCCATCAAAACCTGCCCGTCCTGGGAGACCAGGGTTGCCTGGGAAGCCAGGATCACCTTTAGGTCCTTGAACTCCTTTTGTCCCTGGTGGTCCTGGGGGTCCAGGTGGTCCTGGAACTCCAAATCCACGATCCCCCTGTAACAAATTAACAATTTTTTTAAAAGGAATTTCTCTTAAGTTTAGCCTCTCCTTAAAATGTTAAAGTAGCAAACAAAAAATACCCACTATCTTACACCTCAAATTTCTTTTTTCCTACCCTCACTCAAACCTCAAGTAGAGAATATGACTTCCTTGCCATCAAAAGCTGACAACAAGAGTTGAAATCCTCCCCACCGACTTCCCACTGATGCAGAAAAACCCCTGAGAAAGTGAGGTTTTATACTAAACAAGCAAATACAGACCTTCTGTCCTGGAAAACCAGGTGGTCCAGGAGGTCCATCTAGACCAGGGCGACCTGGAGTTCCTGGAGCTCCGGGGGGGCCTGGAGTCCCTGGGAAACCTACACATGATATGGAGGTTAGGGCAGCAGAGGAGAGGACAGCACAGAGTGTTAGAACAAGTCTTACAGAAATGCTTAGGGCCCATGACAAGTAATCTCTGAAAAGGGGTTCTCTGCTGGCTCCAACATACTTGAGGGGTACCCGTTTGGTTGAGATAATTTTTGAGTGTACTGTCTCTGCCGCAGAGGATCTCTGGGACTCCTCTCAGAGGAGGGCACTCCCCATGCTATGTGATCTAACAAAATTACAAACAGTTCACAACAGAAACATTAACATCTTTAAGCAACATTTGGAGATCAGTTATTGATTCAAGGTCAAACTTTCATAGTTTCCCAAAGTTTCACCTATTTACTTTTGTGTCTTTGGTTTACTGAAAAATGTTTGCTACCATGAAGGAGCAGTACAGGTAACAGAGGATAAGAACTCGACAGGTTTTTTTCCTGATACTTCTGAAATTATTACAAAGATGTATAAATTCGAGACAAACTATTTTTTTAAAGGATTCTAGAGACAGAAATCAACTCATTAGGAAAAAGTGAAGAGACAGAACCCTCTATGTCCCCTCTTCCAGCCAGTACAATGCAATAACATGGCTGCAAACATACCTTTTGGGCCTGGTGGACCTGGAAGTCCAATGCCAGGAATACCTGGCTCTCCCTTTGCACCTGGGATGCCTGGTAAGCCACGCTGACCTGGCTGACCAGGATCTCCTGTAAAAAGAAAATCAACATAATTATCAAGATTCAGTCAGAATAAAAAGCTCTTGGAATTCCCTGGATATCTAGTTGCTGCTTTACCTGGAAGACCTGGGTCACCATTTCTTCCTGGAGGACCAGGGGGGCCTGGAAGTCCTGGTTCTGTAATAGTCTGGCCAGGGTCACCTTTTGGACCTAAAAACAAAAGTAAGAAATATGTATTACTCAGTAGGAGTTTTTTTTTCTGTTTCTCTTTGAGCAGAAAAAGATTCTAGCTACATCCCAAGCTTACAAAAACCTTCAACACCAGCAAGACTTCACCCAATAAGCTATCTGCCCCTGAACCCCATACAACAATTATAGGCTTAGAGGCATTGTTTAATGTTAAGAGAGTTTTCTTGAAATGTTATTTTTTTAGCTTCCTCCTAGGTACCATTATGAGTAGTATTTTCCATAGCTGACATCAGCACAGCTTGACCAGGATCTGTGTAGTTGACAAGAAAGTAACAAAAGCAAATTTGTTCAAAGCAAATCTTTGTTTTCAAAAACTGTTGTAGTTGCAGTATTATCAAGCATAAGCCAGATGGTAATTACAATGCATTTCCACTATAGTCAGTCGAAAAGGAGAAGCTTCTCTAGGGGTCAGAGCAGAAGGGTGAGTGAGGTGCCTATAGTAACATAGCATAAATTCTGCTCACTTTGTGATCCTGTCATGACCTTCAGTATGGGAGCTTATCAATACTAGGTCTTACAACACCTTTGGGAAAAGCTTAAAAGCAGCATTATGTTCTGAGAACTATCCAAAGCAAAAGGATAAAACTTGATTTTACAGCTTTTGTTCAATAGCACACAGAGACCAACTCACCAGGAACTCCAGGAGGCCCTGGACGGCCTGATACACCTTGGATGCCCTTTTCACCAGGTGAACCTTGTGGACCAAAACCAGGAGGTCCAGGAAGGCCTTTGTCTCCAGGAAGACCTGGTATTCCTGGATCACCTGGGATACCCATTTCTCCTTTGAATGCAACACTGCCCTGAAAAAACAAAAAGCAGGATGGGAAAGAGAAACATGTATTTACTAGAAAAGGAGTAAAGTGTTTCATTGCTTTTTTTTTTTTTAAACTCTTTGGCAGTTTCCAACCTTCTAGCTCTCAAGGCCATTGGCTGCTTATGTCTTACTAACATGGTAGAGATAAGGTCTAAACCTGGCTACTTAATTCTCCACACTACATAGGTGATATGCAGACAATGGCAGAAAGGACCATCTGACACTACCCAAGAGAAGTCTCAGCTTTTTTTTAGAGGCATTGACAGACTTGGGGAGTACCTCTGTGTATCATCACTAGATTGGCATCTATCAAAGAGAATTACTGTTAGTTACATTCAGAAAAAAAGTGTATTTGCCAGTCCTCTTAATCTGCACTATGTCAAATTCATCCAGGACTTCCTAAAACATCTGTCCAATCAGAGACAGCATAAAATGGAACTCACCGGTTCCCCCTTAGGGCCAGGTGGACCTGGCAGTCCATCTCGTCCAGGAGTGCCATCAATGCCAGGAAGACCTGGAGGTCCTGGGAAGCCAGGGTCTCCTTTGTCACCTTTCATTCTTGGAGAAGTCAGGACATCCCCTGGTTCTCCTTTAGGACCAGGTTTCCCAGGAGCACCTGGGGACCCTGGAAATCCCTGAGGTGGGGGAAAAAGCATTTTAGTTTTTCTTTCATTTCCTCTCTGAGTTTGGCACAAGAATTATGCATTCAAGCTAGTTATGGACAAAAAAAAAAAAAAAAGATTAGACAAGAATTCATATCTACTGTGCACAGATCTACCAAACCTGCCAGACAAACGAGACACTATTTTTCCCACCAGAACATAACACCACCACTTACTGGTGGCCCTACAAGGCCAGTTAATCCAGGAAGGCCCTTTTCACCTTTTGGTCCAGGAAATCCAGGAGAACCTGAGTAGTGCAGAAAAACATAAAAGAAAAACACAAAACTGTAGAAGCTGTAAATATCAAGCATGCTGTTTGCATAAGATAGTAGCTAAGTTACTTTAAAAGCAGGCAAGGTTTAGTCAGTCTTTTTTGGAGAGCTTGATTTTATTTGAGCAGAACAAAATTTGCAACTCTACATTAAATCAGTAGTGCCAAAAAATGTCACACTAAAAAAGCTCCAGCTCCTCTGTCATTTCAGGAATAGCAAGCAGTAGAAGTTAATTTCTTTATTTCAGCTAAATCTATAGCAGACCATAAATCTTTAATATGCAGAATGCTTGCAAGTCTGTCTTTGATCAGATAATTTTTTTTAAAAGACTAGATTTTAAAAAATGACTGATTGTTTTACATGTATCCAGCCTGTTTCTTCCTAACGCTCCCCAGCTCTGCAAAAGAGGACATGCACCAGCTATATACTGGAGCTTGCAACTGTGAATTTTTAACACAAATATCATTAGCATCATACACAGATACTCAGATACAAAAGTGACTTTATAGAATATATTAGGCAAAATAGCGAAGACAACAGCCTTACCTGGACTACCTGGAGGTCCTGGTGGTCCTCTTTCCCCAGGAGGCCCAGTCACTCCAGTTCCTATGCAATTGAAGCATGTGTCTCCTTGATCACCTAAAAACGTTTGCATTGGGAAAGCATACTTGAGCATCAGATCTTAGAAAACACCAAGAGCATTCAGCACAACAGCAATTGTTTTCTTGCTACTGATCTATAATACCAAGTCCAAAATGACTATTTCAGGTAATTATATGATTGCTTAAATATTAGAAGGTTTTCCCCATGAGTCCTCTTCTAAAGTAGGTACTTGACACTTCAAACTACAACTCTAAAATACATATAACAAAATCCCAAACTTTAGTTAAATTCCAAGAGTGCAAAATAAATACTGGAATGTTTCATTGATTTGATAATAGGCTAAACTTATTTAATTAAAAAAAAAAAGGAAAAAAAAAAAAAAGAATGGTTTCAAGAAGCTTAGGAATTTCCTTCATGTACAGACTTTTCTGACATTTGTCAACGTAGTATTTAAGCACTTCATTTAGGTTAATTAATTAATCCTTACAATATCCATGAGAAAAAAGACTTCTGTTTGAAAGAGTACAAAATAAAGTGAGACGACCAAAGTCATCTAGGATGTCCATGGTTGAGCTAGGAAAAGATTCTCACTTACCCATATCAGCATCCTCATTGCAAGGTTGTCTTTTTGGAAACAAGGATACACATTAAAGATGTCTTTCTTTTGCTTACCAAACAAACAAACTCATTGTAGATTGACCAACTCAAATTAGGAATCTTGCATTTTTAATTTCAATGTTGCTTTCCATAAAATATGTAAAATTTATTAATGAAGTAAGTATAAAACTTTTTCACATAGAGTTGGCACCTACTGTTACAAAGCACTTAGCTCTATCGACCTGGAAGGTAATCATAAAACTGAAGTTCCATGATGCATGCTAGGCCCTAGTGTTGGTTCTACCCTCAGCCACTTTGAGATTCCTGTAATTAAACACTAGATGAGGGACTATCCTAGACTCAAACAAAAAAGCTTTCTTACTCAGAAACAGAAAATATCTGCACTAAATTCTATTGGGAAGAGACATTGTTTATCTTTATTTAATGCAGGATTTACACTGTTTTGCAAGCTTTAAAAAAAAAGAGAAAAAATAAGATAGCTGTGACACTGCACCTTTTTGACCTCGCTCCCCTGTAAAGCCTTGTTGTCCTGGAATTCCTGGAGGACCTGGTGGCCCCTGCTCACATAACCCTTCACCTGAAGAGAATCAGGAGATGATTAATAACCAACTTGTGTTAGACTGACAACAGCACCGAATATACACTTTCAGTACAAAAATGTACTTCCTAGTATTTGTGGGGATCACAGAATCACAGAATGTTGGGGA